TATGGAACGTACACTGGATACCACAGAAATCCTCTACAACCCGGGAAATGCCAGAAATCGCCCTCAATGGACTAGCTCCTTCACGCCATAAGCAACTTACCCTTGTGTCGTATTTGAGTGTCTTAGAGATGACGTCTTTAACGAGGTCAGCCGGTATTGGAGTACCATCGCGATCAATCGCTCCCTCAGCAACGACAATGATGTTCAGTCGTTGACCCTCAGCTCTCATCTGAAATAGGGGTCACATTCTAGAGGAAAAGTCCGCCACAAAGATGTTATAATGGCAAAGGCGGTAAGATTCCAGTTCAAAGGTAATACCTCCTGCAACTTTTTGCAGAGAATTTCACGCCAGTTGACTGGAGGAGGCCATTCTGGGATGAAGCAGAAATCAGCTTCAGATGCCAAAGCAGCAACCAGAGCAAGGTAACCGCAGTGTCTACCCATGACCTTAACGATGAAATTCATGAGTTACTTCGGCTCACTGACGTTACTTATTTGACATACTTCAACCACGAACGCACGTTGATGACTTTGAGCAGTGGCAACTACAGCGTCAATTGATTCAATTATACGCTGCAGTGCGCTGTCAGTACCGATTGTCATGTCAGTACCTGTAATAAAGAGCTTTCATTAAAAATCAAATCGGGTAATAAATGAGGAAAAACCTGCGGCAATTTACTCCTTCTTTAGAGGGACAGAGAAAAAACAAAAGTTATCATAACAGAGGGTATGCAGTGCTTGCAATACCCCTTTCCTATAAGGCACTTCAGACTTGCTCAGTTATCTGCTAGATTTACGGGCGAGGGAAAGGGTATCAGGCCAGATTGCATGCTTCTTCAGCTTCCTTATAATTTGCTGATGCTTAATGTGCCAGCTGTACATCTCTCAACAGATACACGTCCTACAGTAGGGGAAAATTTTCGCAATATACGATGCGCCCCCTTCGAATTTCCTCTTCTGAAAATATTGCTGATCCTTCATCCTGCCTGAAGGGAGCGGGGGTGGGGGAGGGTACACGGTGCACCGGAAAAAGAAAAAACTAAAACAGCAGCGGCCAAAAAATTTTTCTTCAAGGTGAATTCGACCCCTACCTCCAACGACCAAATGCTATCTCCTTCGCTAGATATCCCCAATGTACGTTGTGCTCTGATTACCACGGTACGTTGAACTAAACCTAGTCTTTTTCCAGCTCTAATCGCGACCCCTAACTGGCAATAACACAACAAAACATGGAAAAAACCGTTATAAAGTAGTTTAACAATACCTACCACAAAAGTCATTGTCAATTGATCCGACAAGGCCAACAATCTGAATGTTGGGGTAGCTTTTTGCAGTTTCAGGAGATACCTGGAATTAGCTTCATTATCAAAATTCACTTCTTCATTCAGTTATTCAGAGATTTCTAACTTTTTTCAAGTCCACCAGTTCCTGGATGAGGCCAGGCCAATCTTTACGGAACTGATTAGCACCAGTAAGTGAACCATCACCACCAATGCATACCAAATTCGTAATGCCTTTCTCAATAAGGTTGTATGCAGCCTGAAAAGAACAGCTCTTGAACGAGTTATTGATTACCGGCACTTATAGCACGTGCCAAAAACATGAGCACTTTTCCCCCTAATCGTTATCAGTGCGGACTCGTTTTTTGTTCTCTCACTTCCAACTCTCTATCTGTTTATGACAACAGTTTCGTACACATGACTAATCGCCTTCGTTTCAGCCCTTTTTCAACCATATAGATCAACAATGCTTTTTGCTGTGTGTCGTCAAAGACGTAAGGCACGACAATTTTGTACTCGGTCGAAAATGACAGCAGGGGTGCCAAACAGTGGGGAAAATGGCGAAAAAGCGAGAAGAAACGG